CCCCTCCCCTTCCCTCTCCTTTCCCCTCCTTTCCCTCCCCTCTCCTCTGCTCTCACCTCCCTTCTCCTCTCCCCTGCCCCTTCCTCTGTCCCCCTTCTCTCCATTCCTGCCCTCCTCTTCCCCTCCCCTCTCCTGCCCTCCTCTTCCCTCTCTTCCCCTCTCCTCTCCCTTCCTCTCTCCCCCTTTTCTCCTTTCCTGCCCTCCCCTCCTCTCACCTGGGCTCAGGAGCTTCTCCCCCCTCTGCCTCCACAGTAGCAGGGACTGCTGGTGTGCACCACCCCACTCGGCGTCTCATCCCTTGTGTGAGGCGGTGACCACAGCTGCTCCGTGTGTTGTTGTGATGAGTAGGGAAACAAGCTCCTGCGCACACTGGCTGTTGGCCTTGGGAGCGCTGCGCCACTTTTGCTGTTGGTGATCTGCAGCTGGGTGAGGGGTTTTGGTAGTGAGGCCGAGGGTAGCGGCAGGAACAGCTGCCATTTGCAGGGGTGGACTGGACGCTGGGCATCCTGCTGACAGCCCGTGGCAGCCATCACCTCTGTGCAGTCAGATCGCCATCGCCACTTGTGGTTGGGCAGCCTCATGCGAGACGCTGCCGCATGGCTCTTGTGCAGTGTTGCTAGCGCATTCCTGGCCTCGAGGTGCATCGGAAGCGCCCTTCCGTGCTGTTCTTCTTCTTCTCAGACTGGCTTCGAGGTGCATCAGAAGCGCCCTTCCGTGCTGTTCTTCTTCTTCTCAGATCTCTTTGAGACGGGCTCAGTACGCGGCGCAGGCTGGCCTTGGCTCACTTTGTTGCACTTGCTGCTCTTGGACTCAACGGTCCTCCTGCTTCAGCTCCTTGAGTTCTGCAATCTCGGGAGCGCGCCGCCATGCCGGGCCCATTCTGTGTTTTTAGAGGGGCTAGGGTGGTGAGCTGCTCTCTTCAGTAGTTCTTATTGGCAGACCTCTCTGGACCTGCTCCTGCTTTGGAAAGCTGTTACATATTGAGGCTTGCGTTTCCTCTGAAATGGGGATGGGCTGGTCCTGTCTCTCTCAACTGTGGTCCCAGTGGTGGGCCTGGCATGGTTTAAGTAAGTGTCCCCCTTTAGTACCCAGGGTCTTGGGTGTGGTGACATCTCATCTTCTGTTTCTGTTGTTGGCACTTATACCCTCTCATTTTGCTGACTGTTGATTGTATTGATCTTTTCAGAGAATCAGCTTTCAATTTCATTGATTTCTATTCTTGTCTTCTGCTTACTTTGGGTTTAATTTGCTATTTCTCCCCAAATTTCCTAAGGTAGAAATTTAGATTGTTGATTTTTAGATCTTCTTTGCTAATGTATTACTGGGCCTGCTGTCATAACACCTAAGGTAATAAACACACCCACCACCAGCAGCTGTCCCGCCAGGAGAGAAAGACGCATGGTGGCTCGTAGTCCTTGGGGGCCCAGCCCCTGGTCAAGACACTGTCTGCGGCCTCCAGGAGCAGGTGGCCCTGCCAGGCCACATGGACTGCAGCAGATCTGCTCGGCCCAATGGCCAGGACATAGCCCATTTCCCTGCAGACTCCCTGAAGCCCCAGCCCCTCCCAGCAGCACCTGGCTAGGCACTGAGCTTCCTTTGGGCCTTTCAGGATTGAAGGTCCATAGCAGCATCTGACTTCCAGCCACAAGGCTCTCATCTGCCTTACAGTACAGAATACACTGTTTTGTCACTAAGTCTCTAGAGCCCTGCCGTTCCGGACATTGCTGAAAAGTCCAAATTTAGCCAGATGTGGTGATGCACTCCTCTAATCCCAGCACTTGGGACGCTGAGGCAGGAAGATTACCATGAGTTGAGGTCAGCCTGGACTACATAGTGAATAGTTTCAAAAAAAATAGAAACCAAACAACAGTCCAAGTCCAAACTCTCCTCTGCAGCTTCAGGCTCTCTCTTTTCCCTTTGATGTGACTGGGATCAAACTCACAGCTTGCTCACCACTCAGCCCGGCACCAGCCTTGAGGCCAGTCAAAGCTGTGCGCTCCTGTAGGGTTCCAGGCCCAAGTCCTGCATGACTGAGATGCAGTGTGGGACAGGAGCAGGCACAGCCCGTCTGTCTAGGTTACTTTTCTTGTTGCTGGGACAAAACACCCAACCCTCAAAGTTAAAGAGGAAGAGGTTTATTGGCTCACAGTTTGTAGAGGTTCCACTCCATCACTGGTTGACTCCAAGGCAGTGTGGCTTCGCTAAAGAACAGTTCCTAGTGGCCAGAAGACAGCACAAGCAGCGAGAAAGACGGGCCTCTCTCTGTCCCTTATGTTGTCCAGGCAACTGGGATTGGGGCAGTGCCAGACTGATCAGTGGACTGAATAGTCTCTCATCCTTAATCCCAGCATTGCACCCTGAACCAGTCACACACTCTGGATCCAGCCACCTCCACAGAAGCCCCATCACTGACTGCATGAGGCTTTGGGGGACATCCAGACCCAGCTGTTGCACCATCCCCAAGGGCAGCGTGTAGAGCATGGGGAGCTGTGAGGGGGTGTGGAGCCCGGGCTGGGTATGCCAGGCCTTACCCTCAGCCCTCTGTGATGGTGCTGCTCACAGCCACCCCTCCACTTGCTTAGTGTCACCCCTCAAGAAGCTACATGCAGGACTCTGCCTCATGGCCTCCTAACTGCTGCCTGCACACCAGCCAGGAGCCAGCTGTGGGCCGCACCTGCTCAGGGCTCAGGGTTGGGGGGTCAGTTCTTCAAGTTGTGCTGGGAAGTGGGGAGCTGGCTCCATTCTCAGACAGTGGTGTGGGGTGGCTGGTGGCCTTCAGACTCCCAAGGCCCCTTGAGCCCTCTTCCAGCGCCCAGCAGTGCAGTGCCCCCATGCTCCTTTTGTGGCAGAGTCATCCGCAACCCGTGGGCGTTCTCTTTGGTTTGGGGGCCCTGTTGTTTCTTCATTCTGCCTTGGGTCTGTTCTTCAGTTGCAGACGTTCCCAGAGAAACCTGGGTGTCCCCACCACTTCCACTCCTGAACAAGCTCATCGGCAATTCTCCCAAATTTGGTTACGGTGTCTTTGATCCTTCTGAGTCTTTTTGGCTCTTTCTTGGGCTTTCCATGTTGCTTACCTTGCACTCTCCTTCTTTCATGCTTTCTGTTCTGTCCACTGGAAGGAATCGAGGGCAGGAGAGGGCGAGTTGAGCCAGTGGCCTGGGAAGCAAGGCTGCAGGGCTGTGTGTATGGTCCTTTCTGAGCAGGAGGGCAGTACTGAGGAAGCAGGCTGCACATACCTGGCTGGTGGTAGGGTGGGCTTGGGTCTCTGCACCTGCAGACCTTGCCAAGAAAGCCCCCTTTGCGTGTCCTGGGAGGGAGCAAAGTATGTGGTACAGGTGTTGCTGGCTCAGGCTCCAGAGGTGAGGAGAAACAGCTCTGCTGCTAGTCTGCTCTCAGTGTTGTCCTTCTGTTGTTGTGGGGTGCAACAAAGGAACCCAGGCTGTATACCAGGGGCCTGCCAGCACCACCGAGCTGCAGTCTCAGCCCTCGGTCTACCGCAGAGTACGTTGGGGAAATGTGGGAAATTAGCCCACTTAGTACTTTATATGAATGGAGAATATTGCTTTTGCTTTGGGTGCCCAAGTGCCCACACATGACACCCAGTGCCCACACAGTTCTGACCCAAGGCCGGGTCTCATCAGTGGCTTGGGCTGGCCTTCAGCTTGCAGTCCTGCTGTCTCAGTGCCTTGGTGCTGACTCCAGGGTGTACTACCACAGCTGGTGGAGAGAAGAGTGATGTTAATATTTTGTATAAATTTAGGAAAATATAAAAAGAGCTTCCCAATTGAGCTGTGTACTGCTTTGCGGAGACCACAGAACTTGCTGTCAGGTGTAGGGAGCCGTGGGGGCCTGCACTGATGTCTGTGTGTTGCAGGTGATCGAGTCCCTGGGCATCATCATCTACAAGGCCCTGGACTATGGCCTGAAGGAGAACGAGGAGCGAGAGCTGAGCCCACCCCTGGAGCAGCTCATCGATCGCATGGCCAACACGGCTGGGGCTGACGGCAGCCATGACGAGGGCTACGGGGCAGCGGAGGAGGGTGCCGAGGATGAGGGCCAGCGGCCTGGGGCCATCTGTTCCTACCGCGATGTCATGAAGGTGAAGCACCCTGTAATCACAGCACTTGGGAGGCTGAGGGAGGAGGGGGAAGTTGGAGTCCAGCCTCGGCGGCATAGGGAGGCTATCTCAGTAAAAACTGAGAAGGGAGGGGTGTGGCTCAGTGTATAGGCCCTGGCCTCAACCCCCAGTACCAACACACAATACAAAAGCCCAGGAATGAAGGAAACATGGGGCGGTAGCTCAGCATGTGGTGCAGCCCTCCAGGCCTTTGTAGCTGCCCCTAACCCAGTGCACCCAGGTCTGTCCACCTGTGTCCTGTGTCCTGTGTGATGGTCACACGGGGCCTCGGGAGCTGCCTGGCAGCAGTGGTATCACTGCCTCCCTGCCTCCTCCCTGGGGCTCAGGTGTGCAGAGGAGCCCATCTGGGGCAGTTCCTCTGGGCAGATCTGGCTGTGGAGAAGCGTGTGGCCCCCAGAGCCCCTTCAGCTCTTCCTGTACCAGTCACACAGTAACATGGCCCCATGGACGCAAACTGTGCTTTCCTCCTCTACTCACTTCACACTTTAATTTTTGAAAGCATACACTGGGAGGATGTTGTGTTGAGTGGAATGAGCTGACCAGAAGGACATGCCCCACCTGCTCTCTGCTGCGCCTGGTGGAGGTGGTGAGTGTGTGTGCAGGACACACTTGAGCCCGCGTCTGCACGCAGATGCTGGCTGGAGCGGGTGCAGCAGGAGTAAGTGAAGTCTGGGCACACGGCGAGTCCTCGGCCCAGTTGCCCCACAGTTCCCAGGCAAGGAATTCCTCCGTGCATCCTAGGACCAAGGTTTAGCAGCGTGGGTGGGAATCTCCAAGGTCTCACTCAGCAGCCTTCAGTAAATGTGTTTGCCAGTAAAAATCTCTGGGCATTGAGCCATTTGAATGGACAACCTTTATCGTTTTTTAATTTGAGCTGTTATATTTGCCCAACTTATTGCCATCATCATATGAAAATATATGAAGAAAGTGCCAAGGTGCTTAGAAAGACAGGTCGTATAGCCTGGAGCAAATCCCAGCTTCAGTCCGTGCTTAGCAGCTTTACTTGACCTCCTTTATAATGACCTCACCTCCTATTCCTTGCTTCTGTGCTAATCAGAACCGGCCTATAGAATTTCCCTTGTCTATGACAGTGTGTTCTGAATGTTCCTTTTAGGTAAGTGAGAGGGAAGGTAACTGCTGAGCCATCTAATGAGCACACTGAAAATTTTAAATGTGAAACCTGTTACACGTGGCAAAGGGACACATGTGCTTACGGTTTGGTTGCTGGGTTGAAAACTTCAGTTCGTAAATCGACTCTTTTGTGGAAGAGAGGACAGGAGTTACCTGAGGAGTTGTGGCTGGAGGTAGCATGAGGCTCGGCCTGGTAACACCTATGTGGGGTGCAGGGCGGGCACAGTTTGTTCCAGGTCCTTTCCAGCAGCGCTCACGGCCCTGCCTTATGCTGCCACTGCACCAAGATGTGGAAGCAGCGTGGACACCAGCGTTAGCAAGCTGGGACTCGCCCTGGGGCTTCTTACCACCGAGAAGGGTCAGGCTGCCTCACAGGCCTGGATCCGGGACAGAACTAGACCATGCTTGCCCGGAGTTGACATGATGCCTCTGGAGGTGCGCTTGGCAGGAGTGCTCGCTTCCCTCCCTCGCGCGGCCTGGTTCTGCCCCTGGCTGTGCAGGAGAGACAACCCGGTGTCCAGATATCCCTATCAGCTTATTTCCTGAGAAGCATCTATCACCAAGCAAGGCCCTCTCCAAGAAATATTGAGAAAAGATTTCTCCTGTGGTTGTATTCTTTTTCCTTTATTTACTCACCCTTTTTTTCTTCATGAAGAGGTGAAAGTCCACACAGACTTAAAAACTAGGAGGAAATGGTGGCGTGGGTCCTGTCTCAGGAGAGGCCACTGCTGACCAAGCCTCATGCAGCCTCGTGGAGATGTGGGTGCCGAGTATGCATCCTTTTCGCAGTTGCTGACTTTTTAGCTTTGCTTTTGTGAGCCAGGGTTGCCATGCGCAGTGGCGGCGCTCAGCCAGGGCCGGCCGTGGAGCAGAGCGTGGCTTGTGTGCTTCCCTGCCCTCCCTCTGACCTCTTCTGTCTCCTCCCCCTTACCACTTTGTGTCTTTCTCGTTGCTGTTCCCTTTATATTCTATTTATTTATACTTCGGGTTTCTCATGTAAGAGAACCCATGTGATACTTTAGCTGTGTGTCTGATTTATTCACTTAACATTACGGTCTCAAGGGACATCCATTTTCCTTCAGATAACTCAAGTTCATCTTTCTTTACACAAAAGTAATGGAGCCTGGCATGTGCTATGCTCACTGGTAGCTGCCGATGTTCTGCCTGTGGGATCTTCGCCCTACAGCCTTCCTTGAGCCTGATGAGCCATTTGGGGTCCACACAGAGGGTCCCTGCCCCCGCCACCCCCAAGCCATGCCACACCATCCTGGAGAAAAAATCTGAAGTTGCCCGTGAGGCCTGCTGTAGGAAACCACAAGCAGAGCCCCAGCGTGATGACAGACAGCTTAGACAGCTTCCATGCTTGGTTGGTAGAGGTATTTAAAGGAAAATGAGGAGATGACCCAGGGCCTGGCGGGATCCTGAATAGACCCAGAGCGCAGGCCCGGCGAGTGAGTGAGACGACCCAAGGGCCGTGGGATCCTGAATAGACCCAGAGCGCAGGCCCAGCACAGAACCCTTCAGCAGAACTCCCTGCAAAGAGGCTAGAGGCAAGACCCACCCAGCTGATTCAGGAGCAGAACATCTTGCCAGAGAGACACAAAGGGTTCAA